GGTCTCGAACCCGCGGGCTCAGGCAATCCACCCACCTCAGCTTCCCAAAGTGCTGGGATGACAGGCTGAGCCACCGAGCCCGGCTTGCCTCAACCTTCTAAGTAGCTGGAACTACAGGTGTGCGCCACCACACCGGGCTCATTTTTTGATTTACTGTAGAGACGAAGTCTCACCAAGTTGCCCAGGCTGGTTTCGAGCCCCTGGGCTCAGACAATCCTTTCACCTTTGCCTCCCAAAGTGCGAGGATTACAGGCGTGAACCAACATGCCTGGCCATTTTTATTTTTGAGTCAGAGTCTCACTCTGTCACCCAGGCTGGAGTGCAGTGGCATGCCCGTGGCCACTGCAGCCTCAACCTGCTGGGCTCAAGAGATCCTTCCACCTCAGCCTCCCAAGTAGCTGAGACTACAGGCACATGCCTCCTCTCCCAGCTATATATATATATTTTACTTTTTGTAGAGATGACATTTCGCTATGTTGCCCAGGCTGGTCTTGGACTCCTGGCCCTAGTGATCCTCCCGTCTCATCCCCCACAAGAACTGGGATTACAGGCATGAGCCACCATGCCTGGCCCAGGCACGCATCTTCAGAACAGCCAGGACCCACCTTATACTTGCTGGGCACGTCCATCTTGTTGCGGAGGAACTTGGCTAGATGCATGACGGTCATGGCTGCCGGGCACCGCAGGAAGCGCACCCCTGTCTGCTGGGGCAGAGGCAGCTGTGAGGCATCCGCCCGGGCCACTCTCCTAGCCCGCCTCCCGTCCTGGGCAGGCCCGGCACTCACCTTCTCCTTGTCCCCATCCCCATTCTCCAGGGGGCCCTTCTCCTCCCGGTCCCTGGGGGAGGAGAGACAAGGAAGCTAGGGAGACCTGGGAGCCGGCAGGTCACCCTCTCCAGGGACGGGGCCAGGTGGGCGGAGAGGACGGCCTGGCTTGGGACGGACTTGCCTGGCACCTTCGTAGAACTCGATGGAGAGGCTGACGATCTCGTCGTCGCTCAGGGCTCCCTTCTCCTGCTCCAAGACCTCACCGCGGTCCTCGTTGGAGCCATTGGGAACTACAGAGTGAGAGCGCCACAGGGGTCGGCCTAGGACCCAGGGCCCACGGAGCCCGGCGGCGGGGGCATCCTGAGAGCCGGCAGGCTGCAGCAGGGAGGCAGCGTGGAGGGGCCCAGAGGGCGAGCGGGGTCCCAGGCACGCGGGGGTCACACTCACCCTCTGTCAGGGGGTATGCGGCGTAGAAGTCCCGGCGCCGCTTCATCTCGTCTGGAAAAAGGAAGCGGGGTGGGCATAGGGTCCCAGGCTGGAAGTGGGACAGCGGCGGGGGGAGGAAGGAGGGGTGCACGGATACCTTTAAAGAGCCCAGGGACAAGTTTGTAGACAATGTCTTGGAGGGTTTTGTCAGATCTGGGAAAAAACATACAGGAGCTGTCAGCCCCCTTCCGCCTCCCCAGCCAGGGTGTCCCCCCCTCCTCAGGCCCAGCCCC